GGAGTTTAAAGTCTGGACAATTCTCTGCGACCAAACGCCACCGCTGATGCCTATTTGCTCCGACATTCAGATTGTCGGTCTGAACTACCACGAGTTTTCTACTTTAATTCGGGCCGCACTCCAGTCAGCCGGCCAGAGCCTTAGAAACAGCAATGGATGAAGTGGTAGGACGCTGGAAGTGAGATTTACAATCTGCCGCTTTCAAAATCGTGAACTGGCATTACCACTGGGACGCGGGAATCAATGCCAACTTGGACAAAATCATAACAGTGTCTTTCCGCCCTACTTGTAATACTGTTTATAAGTAGTATTGATGTCTTCTTAAAGAAAATAGTGGGACAAATTTGTTAAATATCTAACCGCACGCAGAAAGTGTTGCACAAAAGTAGAACGGGACTTTGCCCGGCCTCCAAGTGTTGATCTGCGTTGTCTGCATTGCTTGTCACCATAAAATTGGTGAGATATCGGGGCGGCTCGATCGCGTACTTATTACCCATGTGGGGGACTGAGTGAGCTTGGAGCGTATCTCCCCTGGTTTCAGCTATTGTCTGTGTAGGTGAGTCCGCGGCCTTCTTTCAGCACGCCCCATAGCTTGATAAGAGGGCTTCTTCTCGCGCTATTTTTCACGGGACTGACGAAAGAGCCATCCTGAGGATCACGGCAGCCAGGCTCTCACTCTCGCCTCTGCGATATTGATGAACCCGACCTAATACAAACACGCAACTGCACAATTATCGCGAATTCTCCACCTGGCTGCAATTCAATTTTCCTGGGTCATTTGATGCGACCACGGTACGGAGAATCCAGTTACCGACATCCTGTCGTGAAACGAGCCGGGAAGGGAACACTTGTAGTGGCCCTTCTCCCGAGCGCCTGTCTCAACTCTGTGCCTCTCGTGCGAGTGTCTGTCTGCACGTGCGTGTCAGGGCTGTCTGGCATTCGCCCACTGGACTGCCGAACCGACCAATCAGGTTCAAGGCCGAGTCAGACGTGGCCCGTCTTTGACGCATTCCCTGACGGACACTGGGGGCGCCGCTTACGCGGCGCCGGACGTGCCTTCGCCCGGTTGCTAACTCTCCAAACGCTGTTCCAGTTATTCTGTACGGAATACATCATCCTCCCCACTGACGTCCACCTTCTCTTTCCATTCAGAGCGGGGCTTGAAGCTCATTGTAGCCAGGATCTCACTATCGGCCTAGGCCTCTGCGATAATCCCACCAATCGCTCGGTGCTCTACGCCATTCCGATTGGTCGATCCGTATCTGATGCAGTATTTGATGATGGGGTCGAGCAGGAATCCGAAACGGCAGACAAATAAAGCTCTTGTTTCACCAAACGCGTCTACTTCTTCTCAACTGCTTCTTGGGGCTCGCAATTTCGTCTGTACCGGCATATTTTTTGCCCGACTGCTAACGGACTGAGCGCAACCACCTGCGTCGCGACGACTTAGAATCCCGGTTGGCTGGGGTTCAAAACCTGACTAAAGGGCAGCCATCTGTCGAGAAGGTTGAGGCCCGTGGATGGAGGTGCATGCACGAGCACTTGGGGTATGCGTGTGTGCATTGGAATCCCCCAAACGGACCACGTAGTAGATGCGCTGGACCAACAAGGGGGCCATATCGAATTCTGGGAGGCGTTATTGAATTGCGCACCATAACAAATGCCAACATTTCGGGGTGTGGGGTAGCAGACCGGGTTGCCGGCAGACGTCGTGCAAACTGGGACCCCTATTGCCCCCCCCCATTGTTCTTGGTCAAAAATCCGGTTATTTGTTGTGTGGACCGGGGGGGGGGGGGTGTGTGGAGTGGAATGCCAAGGTGCGGACCCGACGATGGCATCCACCTGCGCTCTCCCCACTTTCGGTCTTCGTGACTCTGTTTTGTCACCTGGTCCAGGCGAGGGAGGAGAGAGCGGGGTAGGTGCTGCACAAGTCTACACTCACTATAAACTAAGTCACGCACAAGTCACCGTCCCTGTTCTCACCTTGCTGTTGAGCACATGATGGACATCGTCGGCAACGAGGGTCGAACTGTCCATTCAGGGTGGGGCTTGAAGGTCATGGTAGTTAGGATCTCACTATCGGCCTAGGCCTCTGCGATAATCCCACCAATCGCCTTGCTTGGTGCTCTACGCCATTCCGATTGGTCGGTCCGTATCTGATGCAGTATTTGATGATGGGGTCGAGCGGGAATCCGAAACGTCAGATAAATAAAGCTCTTGTTTCACCCATCGCGTCTACTTTTTCTCAACTGCTTCTTGAGGCTTGCAATTTCGTCTGTACCGGCATATTTTTTGCCCGACTGCTAACAGACAGCGCAACTACTTGGAATCCCGGTTGGCCGTGGTCCAAAACCTGTCTAAAGGGCAGTTATCTGTCGAGATGGCTAAGGCGCGTGGATGGAGGTGCATGCAAGAGCACTTGGGGTGTGTGTGTACACTGGAATCCCCCAGACGGGCCACGTAGTAGATGCGCTGGAATACAACGAGGCCATATCGGATTCTGGGAGGCGTTATCGAATTGCACACGATAACAAATGCCAACATTAGGGGGGGAGGGGTGGGGTGGCAGACCCCGTTTCCGGCAGACGTTGTGCAAACTGGGACTCCTGCCGCCCCCCATCGGTGTTGCTGGTCAGAAACCTGGCCATTTGTTGTGTGGACGGGGGGGGGGTGTGGAGTGGAATGCCAAGGTGCGGACTCGGCCGTGCCATCCACCTGTGCTCTCCCTTCTTCCGGTCTTTTTGACTCTCTCTTGACACCTGGTCCAGGCGGGGGGGGGGAGAGAGCGGGGTAGGTGCTGTGCAAGTCTACATTCACTAAAAACTAAACCACGCACAAATAACCGTCCTTGTTCACACTTTGCTGTTGAGCACATGATGGACATCGTCGGCAACGAGGGTTGAATTGTCGTGTCGTGTGCACATTCAAACTTGCTCCACAATGGGATGCGCCCCAGCAGATGAAGTGGACCCAAACGGGGAGGTCAGTCCGACTCATGGCATGCTCGCAACTGCTGTCGTGCATGTTGTCTGCGTTATGACCCGGAAGGAAGGTAGGAAAGGAAGAGAGCCGGTTCGGACGACGAGCACTTTATTGGAAACTTGCGGACACAAGGGGGTTCAACTAATAAGAAAGGTGCGCTATTTATAGTGGCTCCTGTGAGTTCTAGAACATTCCGACCAATGGCGTATGCGCGATAGCCCCCCCGTGGTAACGTCTTGAATGTTCAACCAGCGATCGATTGGGCCGCGCACGTGCAAAGCCACCACACGTGCTCGGCGCTGCAGTGCATGCCGGTCGACCGTCTAACTTCACGCGTGTCTCATGTCGCCGGCTTGGTCCCCTGTTCAGCGCCTTAGGCCGTGGCCCTACGCTGCTTGTACTCTCCATAACAGTCTGTGTGCTGGTACGCCCTAGACGTCGGCCGCTGCACCCAATGCCACCATCCATTGGTTGACAGGCACGGACAGTCAGCTGGGGCATGCTAGGGGGAAGACTGAGGCCGACGATGGGAACCCCAACCTCACGGCAAAGCCCTCTTTTCCCCACTATGTTGGGCCCGATGCGCTTCACCCTATCAAGGGCGCTTAAAGAATTGTGGTTTAGAGTGACTTACTGGAGGGACTCTTTTCTTTGTTCTGTGCGTGGCAGTCTCAGTTATGTGGGACGCAAGTCGCCCTCGTACAAGCCCAGTGCATCGTGCGGGACACGTGCCAGCGAGACACTGCAGCCCTGTCCGCCTCCGGTCATCTTATCAATGTCCTGCTGTCGCAGTGAGGTGGACGAGAGGGCGCTAGACGTTGTGGAAGTCTGTTTCGCTGACAGTTCGACCGTCGCCAACGACACCGACCGTGTGTCCCACGGCGTGTTGGAAAAATGACGGTGAATTTGCTTATGCTGACGGTGAACTTGCGCAGCGCCCGTCCGCACCATGGAGCCATTCATTCCCGGTTACTGATTTAGAGCGTCCCTTGCATCTAGAGTGAAGCCCCAGCCCTTAATAAACGCGAGACAGACGCCAGGTGATCGCGATGACGCTAACCCATTCAAACGCCGAAAACAGCTCTCAATGCCCTGCCGTCCCC